TAACATTTGCCTGGGAGAAGCTTCCATTAATACTTTCTTCACTTCTCAGGACAACCCTGAGAGCTAGGGATCATCATTTTAGCAAAATTTCCTTCTCAGACTTGGATGGTTATTTCAATTAATCGGTATAGATCTGAATGTTTCATCCTTCCAGAGGGTATTCAGGTCCCAAAGATACAGATATCAATAGAACCATGAAAGTACTTTCACTAGCTAAAAGCAAGTTCTCCGGGGTGGTCTGTGGTCCCTGTAATGGGGACAGTGTATCTATCCCCCAAAATACTACTACTCATAATAACAATGGTAGGAGCCAGCAGAACCAGGGAACACTGAGCCCACTTATGTATCAGGAACATAACTGCTCACAACTCCTACTGCTTCCATTGGGTAGAGAAAGGAATCTGAGGCACAAGGAGGTTAAGGTACTTGCTCTTCTCATTATTCAAGTGCAGACTACACCTCATCTTCTTAGGGGATACCCAAGAAGTTGGCTACTCATGAGATGAGCCCCTTCCCTCCCCACACTTTCACAAGTTTCTTGGTGAGAGAAAGCTGACCATCTAAAACCTTTCTAGGCAGGTGAGCCCCACCCAGTGCCTTTCCCATTTGCTAATCCCATCTCACTAAAAATCAACCACTTGCTGTCTGCCCTAGCAGGAGCAGATTAAATAAATGGTATGTTAATAACTAGACTCCACCTTTTCCTTAGGGCAACCTAAAGTCTTGTGGCAGGTTCATCTAAAACCACACTCGGCTATGAAAACTCACCCTAGGCAAACAATACCTTTCGGATAAGATACAGTTTCAAATTCTTAGGGCTTCCAGGTTCTTAGTTTGCTTACAGGAAGTGGAATTTTATTCTCAATTGCAACAGGTTTAATTTCCAAGTCACTTGAGTGGATTGTCTAGAACACAAGTCTTACCAATCAGCAGGGCCTTCCCCAGGCTCCCCATTCCTACAGAGACTACAGACTCATTCAGGGGTTCCTGACCAGTCAGTAATTTTTTTTTTTTTTTTTTTTTGCTTGTTTTGGTACCAGGGTTTGAACCCAGGAGCACTTAACCATTGAGCCACATCCCCAGCCCTTTGTTATATTTTATTTAGTGACAGGGTCTCTCTGAGTTGTTTAAGGCCTAGCTAACTAGCTGAGGCTGACTTTGAACTTGCTATCCTCCTGCCTCAGCCTCCAGGATTATAGGTTTGCACTATTGTGCAGGGCTCCTGATCAACATCTTAAGCATCAAAAGCCTCTAGCTCAGTCCTCACTTTGATCTAAGGTAAACAGAAGAAAAGTAGTTCTGCAGCTTGGTTTGCAAAGGACAGATTTGATACCGTTGGAAGCAATAGACAAGAATAAATGTATTACAGTGAGTTCTTCATATCCATGGTTCCCCTTCTCGGGATTCAACCCCATGGATGGAAAATATGCAGATAAAAAAAAACAACGCATCTGTACTGAACATGTACAATAGACATTTTCTTTGTCCTTAGTCCCTAAACAACCAGTACAACTTTTTTTTAACCTTGTAATATTAGATATTATAAGTAATCTAGAGATGATTTAATGTATACTGGAGGATGGACATAGGCTACATGCAAACACTCTGCTATTTTATACAAGGGACTCGAGAACGTGCAGATTTTGGTATCCTACAGGAAGGTTCTGGAACCAATCCCCCATGGACACAGGGTGACAACTATATTTCTATAGGTGTGTGAGTTCTGTCTACGCAGAGAAATGTATCTCCTGCAGTGTTTATGAATGGTGAGTGCACCATTGGAATTGCCTGAGATCTATATGTTTTATACATATATAAAATATATAGTTCTCAGGCAATATATATATATACACACACACACACACACATATATATATATATAAAACTTTTTAAAATCTCCAAACCCATTAAATCAGAATCCCTGGGGTGAGTTTTGTATTTTCAAGTTTCCTAGTTGATTCCAATGGGCACCCAGGGTTGGGCTGTTCTAAGGAAAACCACATGCTTCCATTTGGGAGCCTTTAGGAGGGAAATAGCCTATGCTTTAAAAACCATGTAAAAACAGAGTTTTCCAATATGATTAGTTTTTGTTTTATTTCCTAGTTCCTGTAAACAACTTCCAAGGGTGGGCACAATGGTGCCATCTGTAAGGCATATGACGATAACAGATGGTCGCCCCATAACCAGAAAGGCATTAGTGGTCACAGACTCTAAATTATTTGGATTCATCTGGTGTGATTCGAGTCACTTGAAGCCCCTTAATGCTTGATTTTTGTATCTTCCCATGGCAGGAGCACAAGTGGGAAGACCATATTTTCTAGGCTTTGCATTGTTCTCTGTCATTCCATTGAGTTGTTACAAGATGGATTTATAGCAGACCTAAAGGTAGTATCGAAATGAAAATTAGTTCCTGAGTGGAATAGCAATCCCACTTGCTTTGCCTGTAGCAACCACGTCATCTCATCATCACTGCCTCTGCGAGGAAGGAAATGACTTCTTAATGTGGTTTTCTTCCACTAAGGAGAATTAAATCTATGTGGCAAAAATGTAAAACCAGTATGCTGGCAGCCAAATTCTGAAAGGAAGATCCATGACCCTCATAAACATATTTGTGGCCCAGTTATATGCTAATGAGCATCATTTAGGCTCTGACTTAGTGTGGAAATAGAGCTCAGCTGGAGAGCAAGGCTCTCTCTCTCTCTCACTGTTTTGACTTCTGTAGCAAAGTTTGCCCGAAATGGAGGGGGAAACTTCTCCACCTCCCAGGAGCTCTCAGGGTGAGGTCTCTGGATTAGTTTTAGAGTGTTTGGGGCCTGAGATACCAGCTCCATTATTTTAGTTGATAGTCTTTTTTGCTAAATTGACAAGATTATTTGCAAAGGCTCTGATTTTGGTGTGAATATATGTGGAGGAGTGGGACAGTATCGTCACCAGAACAGAGGTCAAAAGGGAGGTGAACCTCCATTCAGGCTGTGAGGGTCCTTGATCAGGATTTAATAATGGGTCAGAGTGAGTTATGACTCACTTGATTTCAGAGAAAAAGACAGAGTGCAGGTATTGAAGAGGAACATGCTAGCTACCCCTTAGGTACGCGTGTTTTTACGCTTAAGATTTATAGCACAGACATGATCTAAGAGGGTGTCATTGGTTCTCCTTTGTGTTGGTGACTAGGGGTCATTTTCCTTCTTTGTTTTTGATGAAAGACCTCTAATATCTTCTGTCAGGGGGATTTGTCATTCTGCTTTGTATTCATGGGGTGACACTGAAGGTTTGATTACTTCATCTATACATCACCTTATAATCAGGTCCTAAAAATATAAATCACAAAAATATCTACTTGTTGAGCAAAGGCATTCTCAGACCTATTTTAGGTTCAGGTCAAGAAAGAAGTTATTTATGGACTTGAGAGTAAGTTCTGATAAATTGATGTAATGGTGCTGTTTGTGATCAAAATATGTGAAAGTGAACTTTAATTATGGACTTTCAGCCAAACCCATAATCCCAGCAATTTGGGAGGTAGAGGCAGGAGGATCACAAACTTGAGGCCACCCTTAGCAATTTAGGGAGAACTTTTCTCAAAATAAAAAGGTCTGGGATATAGCTCAGTGGTCCCTTCGCCTTCTGAATATAGCCCTCATTGCTCTAAGGTTCACTTAAAAAAAAAAAAAAAAAGTTTTCTTTTCTTCCTGTAGTTGATGGATCTGGAAAGTGAATCCTAACAACCATCACAGTGCCCTTGGACCCCCTACCAGAGTATACCTGGAATGTCACCCTTGAAGTTCCTTTAAATCGCCCCTGTCCCTCCTGATGGGGGGAGTCACAGCCTTTGGGACCTGAGTCCCTCCTTTGCTAGCAAAGGAATGAACCTTCTCCTAGTTATTAAATTGGCATTGGGGACAGGGACCACCAAGCTTTTAGTTACAGGCTCAATCTCCCCCCCCCCAAAAAAAATAACAGATCTGAATGTTTAATCCATGTGAAAGTGGACCCTCCAGGATCCACAGGTGAAGGTTGATAGGGACAACCCTCATGCCTACCATTACTGCTTGGGTGACTTTTCACAAGTGAATATTACTCCCACGGGTCTTAGTAAAAAAGCAAAAACTGTCTAATGGGTTATTTTAAAGATTAAATGAAATGATGCACAGTAAAGAAACTGCTCTTTACATCATTCACCTCAATGGACTTAACACAAAATACTATATTATGGGGAACATACACCTTCAGCATGTTAGAATGTATAGAACCACATGGAGGAATAACAGATTTACCTAAGAAAATTAAGGGAAAGGGGATTGAGGTTTTCTATGAAAACCTCTGATAGAAGTTTTATTCACTCTATATGTAATCATGAGACCTACACAAGATGTATAAAAAATATCAGTATCTGAGGAGGATTTCAAAATAATCGACGAAGACCAAGTGTTAAATTGTTTTCTCATTAACTTGTTTGCTGGCTTAAGGCCTCTCTTGCTGGAAATGCTCCTTTCTTACTCAGTAGTCATAGTCCCTGTATTGTTATCATAAAAATTTGCTTGGACAATTTTGTTTCACAGAACAGGTATGCAGAGCTCATGTGAGAGGCTAAGCAGAAGACTGTGGCAGGTAGACCACAGGCCAGCCTGGGGAAAATGGCCACTGGTAGGTGGCAAATTCATACTTTTAGACTTTGGGAAGTAAAATAAATGAATGATGCCTGCCATACCTAAGAAAGCCAAAGAGTAGGGGGACTGTGAACAGCAGAAGGCCCCCCCAACAACTAGCCACCTTACTCTGTCCTCAGCAGACAACAGCCAGGCAGCAGAAGGCCACCATGTAACCTAATCTGGTTTTGTTAGAGAAACTGGAAATGTGGATTCATTTGTGTAGTCTCCTTGTTTTCGAATTTTGGCAATTAACCTAATTAAGAAACACACACTTACCAGCAGCTAATCTGCAGTCCTCCCAACATTTATTCAATGAGATCCCATTAATGAGCCAATCCCATTTTCTCTCCAAAGCTCCAGAAACATGACAAAGAGGGAGTGGACTCCCCAGCCTCCTGGAGATCAGAGGAGGAAATGGCGGCAGAAGCTGCAGCTCTGAGGATCTACTTTCAATGACAGGTAAAGACTGTGCACTTTGTCATCACCAAAACCCTCCACTGGCTCTCAGGAAAGGGTCTCTGGGCTGGGAATGGGGACAAAGATAAGCAGCTTAACCAATATCTTCAGCTGGTGGCTGCAAAAGTCACAACAGCTGAAGTGGAGAAAACTATGCTCTTTAAGGAATTTATTTCCAGCTCCCTTCCCCTCCAGACCTGCTCTCCCTGTCTCTCCTCCAGGGCTGTTGCCCTCCATTCCAACAGCCACACAGCAGATGGTGGGTAAAGCAAACCTGGTTGTTTGAAACGTCCAAACCCTCTAAAGGTGTGACAGTGCCCTCTGGCTCCAGATTCTTTGTCCCTCAGCCTCCTGCCATTTCAGCCTGACCCAGGTAGACTCCTTTCTCTGTTGCTGCTATTTGATAAATTACTGGTTATGTTTCTCTTTTTCTTTAGGTGCTAGGAAGCTCAGGCTACAGGGGAAAATTAGGACTTGTTAAGATTTTTCATTAATGATGTTTAACTGTTGCTAGAATAAGATTGTGGTAGAAAGCTACAATCTCCTTTTTTAGAATTCGTGCTTAGACTAAAATTGTTTACAATGGATATTATACATTGATCTTCTGACATTTGTTCGTAAGTAGGATTGCCATGCAATACTGGGAGCAGACTGGAAAATTATTGTTTATCTGAAATTCAAATGTAAACTGGCTGTCCTACATTTTATTTTATTTTGGTACTGGATTGAACTCAGGGTTGCTTTACCACTGAGCAACATACCTACCCCTTTTATTTTGAGATTAAGTGGCCTAGGCTGGCCTCTAGTGATTCTCCTGCCTCAGCTTCTTGAGTCGCTGGTATTGCAGGTATGCACCACCACAACTGGTTGTTGTACACTTTAATGGACCTCAGAGAAACATCCTTTAAATAATTCTTTTTCCTTTTAGAATTAGATGCTTCTTCCTTTAGCCTGTTTATAAGTTGCTGGAGCAGATACTAATTTAAAACAAAATTAATGAGCAAATACTGGTAGCAATTGAATTGTATAAAGTTTTGCCAACCACTTAGTAGTCATGATTTTGGTTGGAAAACAATACATTGCACCTTACCCAGGGTTTTGCTTTCCCTAGTTTTAGTTACCCTCCCTCAACTGCAGTGCAAAAATATTAGATGGAAAATTGCAGAAATAAGCCATTCATAAATTTTACATTGCATGCCCTCCTGCTTCATCTCCCCCAAGATGACAAACATTTCTAACTTATCCACACAGTATACACTACCCTCATGTTAGTCACATTAGAGTTGTCAGATAAAGAGTCACTTAAAAATAAACATTGGGAAGTTTAATAATGGCTCCATAGTATAAGAGTAGCAATGCTGGAAATTTGGTTATGCTAGAGGAATGCTGCAGAGTGCTTCCTTTAAGTAGCATCACAAGTCTAGTACAATAAGGTATTTTGAGAGAGTTAATATCCACCTAACTTTTTTTTTAAAATTTTTAGTTGTAGGCAGCACAATACCTTTATTTTTATGTGGAGCTGAGGATCTAACCCAGTGCCTCACACGAGCTAGGCAAGTGTCCTACCACTGAGCCACAACCCCAACCCTCACATAACTTTTAATATAGTGTATTTTTATAATTGTTTTATTCATTTTTGTTAATGCCTTAATGTATCTGATTTATACATTAAACTATCCTAGGTACATATACAGAGGAAAAACTTAGTATATATGGAGTTTGATACTATCTCAGGCTTTAGACATCCACTTGGGGGCAGATACTGTAAAATAACCCCTGCATGTAAGAGGGAACCTCTGTTTTCACTTCAAAATGGAAGTTTTATTAGATAATTTAAAATCTATGTGCATTTCTTGTCCTTTCTCTCCCCAATCCCCTTCTCAAAGTACTTTAATTACTTAGAGACGCCAGAGTTCCTCCCCTCCCAGTACTGTGCAATTGTGGTGAAGTCTCAGGAGCTTGCATCTAGAAAGCTCATTTCATTCTCCCTGTCATCTGTGTGTCAGCTCTGCACTTAGTTGCCTGAAGGCACAGAACATGGTGTAGCAAAAGCTGTCTTTCATATATTATTTTTAACCTTTTCCACTGTTCATCTTCTTTCTTAAAAAAAAAAAAAAAGGAGCGATAAAATGAACTTTGTCTATGGGCATGACTACAAACCTCTTTCTATTCTCCTCTCAGAATGCCTCCTTTGAAAGAGAACATGTCATTTTGGAGTGCCCTGTTCAAATGGGGGTCACAAATGTTCAGGCTTGACTTTCTAGGCTGAAATTGTTTTCTGAGTTACCTATATAATGGGTATTTTCAGGCAGAGCCAAGAAAGCTCTAGGGTTTTCCTGGGGCTTGCTGAACCCTAAGGGTCTATATTTGAATGCATTTTCTAGATGTTTTAAGAAGATTTAAACTTATAACCTGATTTTGCTTCTGTCTCGCCTTGAGGCCTGACATCTCCTATCTTCCAGGTAAATCCATTTGTTTTATGAGTCTTGCCAGAAAGACATTCACCCTAAGAAATATCCTACAAACTACTGTCAAGCCTGCCTGTGTGTTTTTAAAGTAACAGATATTTGTATCTCTCTTTAAGGGTGTTCTTTATAGACCAAACTAATGACCTCCTGAGCTGTGGGAATTTAGTTAGCACCTTAGAGACCAGGGACTTACACTTAGGGTCCTTCAATTTTACCAAGAACATCACCTTTACCTGCAATACAATGGGACTGAATATACTTCCCTCTAGAGACAAAGGGGGACAGAAACTTGGTCCTTGGGTTATTCCTCATCTTCTTTCACACCCACCTAACTTCCCTTTTCAAAATGCTTCTACACACTGAATTTTTATACAATGTTAAATGGTTCATGGAATACTGAAATTTTTTTTTACTAAATAGAGCAATAAATTTTTTTAAAAATCCATTATTTATCTGAAATTCAGATCAACTTGGCCTCTCCCAGCTATCCTGATCGTACCCTCAGGAGCAAGTCAGTCTTAGGCAGAGCAAGTTCAAAGACTTGGCGCTTGCTCTGCAAGACCAAATGATTCTCCACACATAGGAGCTGACAGGATGGGGCACAGCCCAGCATGGATGACTAAAGCCAATTCTTACTGACAGATTCTATGATAATCCTGCGTTGCTAGTGAAGAGAGAACCAAGGCTCTGTGATGTTAAGTGTTATTCTAAGGTACATGGTGGGCCCAGGCTGTCTGACCCAAAGGCCATTTTTTAATCTTTGTACTGCTTAAAGAGCTCCCTCTTCCAGCCAGTCCCTTCTCCCTTTCCTAGGACCCCTCAAACATTTTTTAGGCTTTTTATTTTATCTGCTGATCTCTCTGGCTTCCCTGTAAGGTCGCCTCTGTGACCCCTGCCTCCCTTCACGCTGTATCCAGGTACCAGGAATCAAAATGGCCCCAGATTCCCCCAACATTGACTTTATTGATTCCAACCAGGCTGCCCTCCTCCCTCTGATCTCTACCATCTGAACTCATGGTCAAGAAATGCAACCTTGGGCAGGTTCAGGGGTTCCCAAATTGCATGCATTTTGTCATAGAAGATCACCAAGGGCATCATTTACTTGATTCACTTTCTAAGTTTGGGTACATTAGTCTTAAACTGTGTATCTTAGACTTGATGAAAAAAAGAACTACTTGTAAGTAGAAGTTAAGCATGAAAATATAGTAATAAAAAAAATAAAACTGTGCCGGTAAAATTCCAGCTTGCTGGTAGTCATCAGGACTGAAGTTATTTTCTCTTTGTTAGAAAGTGAGGTGGGCCACTCTCAGAGAGGCATTTAATTTTAGCACGAACCTGAGACTCTCCACTTGACCTATTCAGAAGGATAAAAAGAGAATGACCTATACAGAGATCAGTGTAGGTCACCTAAAATTAAACAGGCATATGATTCCCATCTTTGGAGAAACAGTAACGGAGGCTAGAAGTGAAACCCGGAGTGAGAGAACTCTAGACTATTCCAACCACTGAGCCAGTCCTTCCTTCAACTAGACATGCTGAGAATACAGGGTGCATGGGGGAAACCAAAGAGTCAACCTCCCTAGGGATACTGGGTCACCATTTTGTCACCAGGCATGAAGTGTACACCACAGCTCACTGCCTCCCCCAACCCTGGGGGCACACTCAGTCTCCAGGCTGAGCATCTTCTAGGGTTTGCTTTTAACACTTGGCTTGCCCAGAGTCTACCTTACAAACCACAGGACTGCAGAGAAGAATCCCTACACCCAAAAAAGAACTGCAAGAGGCAAAGAGTCACTGTCTGCTTGCTTTGGGTTATACCTAGCAATGCTCATAAGTAAAAACCCCTGTTCTGGATCTATTTTTTTTTTTTTTTTGGTGGGGGGAGGGTGGTTGTACTGGGGATTGAACTCAGGGGCACTCAACCATTGAGCCACATCCCCAGCACTAGTTTGGATTTTATTTAGAGACAGGGTCTCACCGAGTTGCTCATTGCCTCTCTGTGGCTGGCTTTGAACTCGCAATCCTCCTGCCTCAGCCTTCCCAGCCGCGCGCCATCACGCCTAGCTCTGCATCTTCTTTATGTATGAACCCAGACTAATCCTCAGGATGACTTGAGTGCCGTTAGGACCATAAAGAGAAACATCCCAGAACTATAAGCTCTCTCCTCAGCCTCTTGAAGCTATCACGGCATGCCCATCAGTTAGGGGAATTCGCTCTGTCTTCCCATATAACCTGGCCGGAGGTCTTGGTGTCTTAGCCACCTTCTATTATCCCTGGGCTAGCACAAAATGACTTTGAATCAGTTTCTGATTCAGCAGTAGTGAAAAACGGACATGGCCTTTGCTGTGCCCAGAGAGGGCCACTGGTTGCTGAATGAAGCTGCATCTGCCTCCTCCCTGCCCACCTGACAGATCCCTGACGAGATTGCCAAGCATGTGCTTCCAGGAACCAGCATCTACTCTCCGCCTAGGTGAATTAATGCATTGGCTCCCCACACTGGGCTGACTTCCGGGAGAGGGGTTTTGCAATGGCTCT